CAAAAATGGAAAGTTGAGTGCAGAGCTGACGGCCTCGTGCCAATGCGTTTTGCGATTTTTCCAGTCCATGTGTCTAAAGTACTGCGCCTGCCGCGAAAAGGTGGCCAAGTCATACGAAGTGCTGCATCTGTCACGCAAAGTCATCTTAGCAGACCTGACGATCTGATGCTCCAAAATGCGACCCCTCTCAGGAAATCAACGCCCTGACCTCCTAACATCTCTGATGAACATGTCTTTTGTAATTACTGCGCTTGCTACGCGAAATGCATCTTTCCAGATCCTCTTTAAATGTCCCACGCCTGCTATCATTTTTGGAAATGCTACAAAACCCTCACGTTTTTCTCAAGGTGCAGAATCCCTAGTCCTGCCACGTAAAACCACATCTGAACCTTCAAAAGTGCTCCGAACGTGAGGTGTTTTGTTCATTTTGACTTCGAAATGTGCTTCGAGCCACAACGGCGTGCAATTTTTCATCTCTCATCCAGCCAGATGGCTCCGCACCCACCGCTTTAGCGAGCTTACTTTTCCGACCCTCCGGAGCTACAAATCATTGGAAAAACACAGTGAATCGCGGGTTTTCTACCTTTTCGTGCGCCTGCATCTTCTTTCAGCTGACTCTTTCTCTTCTCTGATCTTCTTTCTTCTTCTCTTCTTCTCTTCTCTTCTCTGACTCTTCCCACCTCTGCTTTTCCATCTGTCCATATTGTCGGAAGTTTGACGTCTAAACTTCCTTCGACTCTAACCCTATGGATCCAAGAGCGTTCTGAGAAGGTACTTAAGCCCGAAATCATACCGCATATATTTTCTCGGAAGGTACTTGGATGAATAGTGACAGATACGAAACTTGGGACGGCGGCTGGTCGTCGCACAAACTCACTCTTGAGATTAAGATGTTGCCACCAGCCAGGTCACCTACACATTTTTTTTGATCGTTCTTTGCGTCAAGCACTTTGGCGACTCCGGGGGGTTGAAATCGGATTTAGGGGGGACATTGGGGTAGTGGAGCAAACATTGGCCCCAAATTTTCTCGGCAGTTACTGGAAATTAGCAAATGACACTAGAAGATCTAGAAGGACATTAAAACAACAAGTGGAGCACGTTTTTTTTTCACATTTTTGTTTGAGGTCTCAAAGATGCATGTCCCTGAACCAATGAATTCCTGACGGTGCTAGTGTCTATGGTAATTTTCCCCTAACCCCTAGAATACTGCAGCATCAGAGACTTTCCCAAACCAAAATGCATGGATCGGGTCGAGCACATGGGTTTGCCAATTCCCTATGACTGCCAGAGCCTACATGTTTCTGGAGCTTCTGGCGGAGGATCGGCCAGTTAAGGGTTTGTTGGTTATAATCAACCCAACTGCTACTTGGTGATGCCCCACAGTTGTGTTTGTTGGTGTAAAACCCCCACTACTAGTCCGAAACATCTATCATAAACCCTAGTGAAATTGGAATCATAAACCAACTTAGCTAACAAACTGGGGCACCGCCCTGTTGCTATCGTTTACCCAGATTGATGGTTGGCTGAATCCCCATGATATATCATCAAATACCATCATTTTTTTTTTGAAAAAATGTGTGTGTTTCATCTAAAATAACTATATATATATATACAGTGTATATATATATGTACGTATACATACATTGCATGATGCTACAAACTATGTCTACCCGGCCGATGATGATCCATTCCACCCTGCTCCAGCAGAATTCCAGCTGCAACTCATCTCGCAGGATTCCTGGCTACGGAAGTTGGGTACAACCTGGCGACCGGGAAAGGCTGGGACGCTGGGCTGGGGCAACAGCAATGGAGATATTATGGATACACACGCGCACAGACAGACAGACAGACAGACGGACGGACAGACAGGCAGGCAAGCAGGCAGGCAGGCAGGCAGCCAGGCAGACAGACAGACATTACAGACATTACAGACATTACAGGCATTACAGGCATTACAGACATTACAGACATTCCAGACATTCCAGGCATTACAGACATTGCAGACATTGCAGACATTCCAGACATTGCAGACATTGCAGACATTACAGACATTACAGACATTACAGACATTACAGACATTACAGACATTACAGACATTACAGACATTACAGACATTACAGGCATTACAGACATTGCAGACATTGCAGACATTACGGACATTACAGACATTACAGACATTACAGACATTGCAGACACTACAGACATTACAGACATTACAGGCATTACAGACATTACAGACATTACAGACATTCCAGATATTACAGACATTAAAGACATTACAGACATTACAGGCATTACAGACATTACAGACATTACAGACATTACAGACATTACAGACATTGCAGAAATTGCAGACATTGCAGACATTGCAGACATTGCAGACATTACAGACATTCCAGACATTGCAGACATTACAGACATTACAGACATTACAGACATTACAGGCATTGCAGACATTGCAGACATTGCAGACATTACAGACATTACAGACATTACAGACATTACAGACATTACAGACATTGCAGACATTACAGACATTGCAGACATTGCAGACATTACAGACATCACAGACATTACAGACATCACAGACATTACAGACATTACAGACATTACAGGCATTGCAGGCATTGCAGACATTACAGACATTACAGACATTACAGACATTACAGACATTACAGACATTACAGACATTGCAGACATTGCAGACATTACAGACATTACAGACATTCCAGACATTGCAAAAATTGCAGACATTGCAGACATTGCAGACATTCCAGACATTGACATTACAGACATTACAGACATTACAGACATTACAGACATTACAGACATTACAGACATTACAGACATTACAGACATTGCAGACATTACAGACATTACAGGCATTACAGACATTACAGACATTACAGACATTACAGACGACATTACAGACATTACAGGCATTGCACATTACAGACATTACATTACAGACATTACAGACATAACATAACATAACATAACATAACATCCCCGTTGCTTGTGCCTTTTAGTCTCATGCCTCGATTTTAGCCAGCTAAAACTCCGAACCTACCCCAAAAACAAGGCTGGATAAAATTTGGGCAGGAGGTCCTGCATAGGCTAAAATTTGGGCTCGAGACCAAAAATTTATACCACCCCACTTGGTTTGTAGAGAGATATCAGGCAGATAAAATCCAAGGGTTTGAGGTCTATTCGGCCGAGTCAATTTTTGAAAAATGTGAGGTCTTTGCAGGTTATGATCCGCCAGCCAGTCCGTAGGTTAAAATTCCAAAGATTTGAGGTTTCTGAAAATAGCAATTGAATAAAATTCCATGGGCCTGTTTTTTGTCAACGGGGCCAGGACAACATATGCACGGAAGAGTGCAGTTCCGGCTCAGTCCCAAAACGTGGCTAGCATGAGCCCTGTGGATTTGGAAGCCTATCGCGCACAATGCCCTCCAAACAGAACGTCCAAAATCCCTGCTTGAACTGTTTCATGTACCAAAATCCCTCCTGGATAAAATTCCGTGGGACTGAGAGTCAAGAACGTGTAGAACTTTTATATTTGATAGTAAACGTATCCGGCGAATAAAATTCCGATACAACCCCAAAATATAAGAAACAGCTACTGGGATAAATATGCGGTGGAAGATATCCAAGGTACCAACTGGCTATTTTTTTTGGGCTGGACCCTCAGGATTTCAGCCAGGGGTAAGCATCAGGGATACATAACATAACATAACATAACATAACACAACATAACATAACATAACATAACACAAAGATAACATAACATGACATAACATTACATTACGTTACGTTGAATGACATAACATGACATAACATTACATTACATACGCTACATACATTACATACATTACATACATTAGATACAATACATACATTCCATTCCATTCCATTCCAGTCCATTCCATTCCATTTCTTTCCATTCCATTCCATTCCATTCCATTACATACTACATACATACACACAAACATATCATATATATATATACATACATACATACATACATATATATATATATACATACATGAATACATATATACATATATGCATATATATATATAAATCCGACTTATGGGCAGATGCAGCCACAGTGGTGAAAGCAGTCAGAGTCAGAGAAGAGAAAGAGACGGTAGAAAGAAGATCAAGGTGCGCGAAAAGGTAGAAAAGTCGCGAAACACTGTTTCTTTGCTAATGATTTGTGTCTCCGGAGGTTTAGCCATTTGGTCGGATGAGAAATCAAAAATTACGCGCGACTGGCGCGAAGTCAAAATGCACAAAACACCTAAGGTTCGGAGCGCCTTTGGACGTTGAGGTGTCGAAAAAGTGCACACTGCTGTGGCGCGAAGCACATGTCGAAGTCAAAACGTACAAAACATACCATTGTCGGAACACTTTTGGAAGTTGAGATGTTAATAAAGTGCACACCGCTGTGCCGAGAAGCACATTTGGAAGTCAAAATGCCAAAAAAAGTCATGATCGGAGCACTTTTGTAAATTACGATGTCGAAAAGTGCATGCGTTTGTGGCGCGAAGCACATTTGGAAGTCAAAAAAGTGTTAAACACTGACGGTCTTGGACCACTATTGCACTTTGAGATGTCGAAAAAGCGCACGGTGTTGTGGCGCGAAGCATATTTAGAAGTCAAAATGTGAGAAACACACCACGTTCGAACCACTTTCGGACGTTCAAGCGTCTTTTTTTTGGGCAGGCGCAAGGGATTCTGCACCTTGCCAAAAGTGAGCAAAACGTGAGGGTTTGCTACAACTACAACTACAATCCACAACTACCACTACACTACATCTAATGAGCAGAAACACCTTCCCAAAATGCAGAAAGGAAAGTTGTATATAATTGATTATATTCATGTATAAAAATAGTTGTATATAGTGTATATATTGGATGATTCATTATTCATGTTAAACTAGTTAGCAAATGGAACATACTTGGGAGCACCCACAGGAACCAATCGCACCTTGATCACTGATAAATCCGGTGAATGGCACTGAAGCTACGACGGCACATGGGGCAATTGCGCACCTCAGATGCTGGTTTGATGGTCTTGATGGTCTTGATGGTCTTGATGATCCCAAAATTCACGGGTGATTTTTCAGCCTTAGAACCATAGGATCCATGTATGGTATATATGCTAACATTGGGGGTATATTGATGGTAAATGTTACCATATATAGCATACATGGATCCTATGGGGAATGGATGGTGTATGATCAACAAACATCGTGTTTTTTTCAGCAAAAACGATGAGTTCTCACATGGTATGCAGCAGACGGCTTCTTTTTTTGTTTTCCCAAAAGTTGAGTCGGATCAACGTCCCTGAGTGGCTGTACCCTGGCCACTCAGCTAACCAGTTTCATTCTTTTGCTCAGAGTTTTTACATGGGTTAATTCCATATTATATATATATTATGATTATATATTATATATATAATAATAATATAATATATAAAATACATATATATATATATGATAATATATGTATAAAATTGTGTGTATTTACACATATTAGTTCCTTTAAAAAACATTAAAAATAACAACGGTCGGACGGCCTATTCACGCGCGGCCGACTTGGTTTGTCATCTTTGCTGAGTCAGAAGTTTCAACATTACATTCACTTTCAAGCACACGTTGCGCCACAGACACCCCCATACTTTGCCGCCCAGTTCCACAGCATGTTCAAAAAAACAAAAAACACCCCTAGACAAGAGAGGCAAACGACTCCCCCTTCCCCACCCCCACCCCAGCGTGGCATAGCATCAACAACATGAGCAAGTTACATGGAACGTTAACATCCCCCCCCACCCCAGCGTTGCGTAGCATCAACAACGTGAGCAAGTTACATGGAACGTTAACATCCCCCCCACCCGAGCGTGGCGTAGCATCAACAACGTGAGCAAGTTACATGGAACGTTAACATGAGCAAGTTACATGGAACGTTAACATCCTGTAGCATCAGCAACATGATGAAGCCTCAACAACGTGATTTGTCAAGTTCACATGAACGTGATTGCCCCACCCCACCCCACCCCAATGTGCGGCGTAGCATCAGCAACGTCATGAAGCCTGAAAACACTGTAAAAACCAAGGGAAAACGCAAATGGTGCAAAAAAAAAAAGTGCGAAAGGGGGAAAAACACTGTAAAAACCAGTGCAAATGGACAAAGGCAGAAAACATCACTCGAAGAAACAGTTGTTCCTGCCCCCCCCCTCCCCCCCAGGGCAGCATTGTCGAGAAGCAGAAAACACTGTAAAACACAGTACAAAATGCACATTCAGCAGTGTGTCTGCGCGTGAACACCCCGTCGGAGGGAACAACAAGGTAAAGCGTAGACTTTCAACTTTAAGCCATTGCGTGAGCTACCAAACAGTGCCACTCCTATATGCAAAGGATTGGCCTCAAACAAAGTTGGCCAAATGGCCCAAAACCAGAATGATATGATTGGGTTTTGCCCCCTGCTAGAAGTGATGTTTTAAAGGACCAATCATCTATACTATGAATAAGGATGTTCTATTGCCATGTTTGATTACCAAAGGGCCAAAGGGTAATGAGAATATACCGTAAGGCTAGGGGGACCATCATAAATGGGGATTTCACCAATGGATAATGATGAGAACGGACTTGAGTGGGTGTATCTAAAATTGATCGTCCCAATTCATAACCGCTTAAAATCATTCCAATAGCGGAAATGGTGACTAACCTGGCTGGATTTCGAATCTCTTGCCTTGACAAATTTCCAGAGTTTACCACAACTCTTACCAGTTGTCAGCAATGGGGGGGGTTCACTGGGTTCACTATTCATCAAGCACTCATCCAACAGAGGAGATTTGCCCATCAATTTTTGAGGGGTAAATAAACCCTGAAAGAGTTTAGTGGTTGGCTTGGCAATTTCACAATCCCCGGCTCTGACAAGTTCCCAAGAATATCTATGACCAGCTATGTTTTTTCATGAATGCTGGGCTACACATGGCTACACCAGTTCAAAAATGTGGTACGTATCATAGTCATAGATAGTCATAGTGTATAATTCGTATATGTGTAATGGATTAGCCACTTGTCAACCTTCAAAATCCTACCTGCTTGGTGGTTGACCTACCCCTCTGAAAAATATGAGTTATATAATTAGTCAAGATGATGAAATTCCCAATATATGGAAAAATAAAAGCCATGTTCCAAACCACCAACCAGTGATTATTAACCATGATTATATAACCATCATTAACCATCATTATTCCCAATATATGGAAAAATAGAACATGTTCCAGTCCTACTTTAACCATCATTAACCATCATTAACCATCATTGTTCCCAATATATGGAAAAATAAAAATAAAAATAAAACATTTCAGTGATACTTCCCGTTCCAGTTCTGCGCCAATTCGCCAATGGCCAATTCCCAATTCGGACCCCCGGACCGCGCGTGCACCGCCCGGCACGGCGGCCTCCGCACGGTAGGCCTGGCCGAAAAGGCCTACAATAGGCAATTAATCTGGGTAAATGTGGTATATGTGGTATATGGTATATAATGTTGTTAGTTTACCAAAGGATATTATATCCCTAATATCATGAATCTGGGTAAATTAGAATATTTCACTAACCTGAGTTGTTGCGGCCATTTGGGGATGATTTCCCTAAAATAAACCATGATTCCAGTGAGGGAGAACAGTGAGGTCGTTATAATTTACCCAGATTAATGAAACTGATGAAGTCACCATTGAAGAAGTACAAACTATAGAACTTAGATGAACTTAGATCTGATATGATCTGATATGATCTGATATGATCTGATATGATCCGATATGATCTGATATGATCTGATATGATCTGATATGATCTGATATGATCTGATGTATGGCTCAAAACTGGTGATAAACATCAGTTTAACCTTTAATTCGCCATTAAATCATATTAAATCATCAACTTAGATCTGATGATCTGATCTGATGATCTAGAACTACAGTAAGTCTCCAGTACCCAGGTCTCCAGGATTCTCCAGGTCAGATTCGGCCTCTGCACAATCAACACACACAGCCAGGTGCCCGTCTCCGGTATCAGCGTGCATGAAGGCACTGGGCGGCAGCAGCTTCGCCACATGGGGAGCAGTTTTGTTTTTTTTCAGAAGCAGACACCATGGAAAAACGGGATTCCAAGCAAACAAAACTGCTGGTCTATAGTCTATGGTCTTAAAGAGCTCAATTGAAATTTGATGTGATGATTTAACCAATAGGAATTGTGCTTTTCATAGGGTTTTAATCAGCAGTTCGATGGACATTTACCCCACCAAAATACGCGAGTTCTGTGGATTTGAGAAGAAAAGAGCCAACGTTGGAACGGGGTGTTCACGTTGGATGACCAAGTGGTAAGCAACTACCAAGCGGGATTAGATATATGACATCATTGGGGTATATCATTCCAAAGATGGGCTGGAAAGATCATGAAACTTGAAAGCAGCAAGAAATATCGGATCATGTCATGACTCGATGGTATCTATATTAGCTCAGTTGTCTGAGACTCGGTACCCTCCGGGGAACTGTCGAGCTACATGGCAGCCACGTCAACGATGAAAAAACAGTGTGATGATAGATTGAGACTGTGTATGTGAGCAATTACTATTTAGAATACCACAAATGTGAGGGCGATTATGCGGACAATTCAATATAAAACAATTATAAAACCATCCGTCACATGTGGATGATTTTATGAACAAATCAACGTGAATGCAGCAGAACATGTAGATAAGTTTGCCAAATGGAACAAGGAAACAAAACACAAAAACTCGAAATGTCACCTTCCCCCAAATTAGTATAGAACATTATAATATATTATAATATTATAGACCCTGTCGTGAGTTGGGGTTGGAAGAATTGTTTCCACCAAGAATTGGCTGTTTTCAGGGTCTATGAAAAATAACACTTAAGAGGGTATGTTTTTACACATGACCTTCAGTCATCTTCAGTCACCCTAGATCCACCCTAGAGTTTCCCTCGGTCTTCATGGATTTTACAGGTGCCTTTGGCCCTTCCCCACTTTTCAAAGACAAGGCACTGAGTTCTCCGTCGCTCCATGCAGATCACACAGAGCTCATCAGTTGAAGCCTTGACTGACCAAAGTTATTTAACCATCATGGGGGTATCAACTATCAAACCAGTGATTTTACATGACTTTATATTATTACGAATACGTGGGATTTGAGTATCGAACTGTGGACATTCAAGTTTTTTTGTTTTTAATACAGGAACCGAGTATAAGGTTTTCCTGTAATCATATATATATATGTATATATATATACATATATATATATGTATTCCATTCAACCAAATCTGGGAAACGTCCATTAACTAATCATACGAACATAATAAGGTTCCAAAAATCGGCGTATGAAGTAGTGCTGGCTTGTGTGGCCGAATCCTGTGTCATTTCCCCAAGAATGACGGAAACATCAACCCCCGACCATGGGGAAAACGCCCAGCAATCATGGGTACGTTTGGCCCAACAATGGGTTTGTTTCAGGCCTCAATTATAATTGTTATCATGTTTGGTCCACTTAGAACACAAATGTCTTAAATTAAGCAACAAACAATGACCAACACAATGTTTCTATAACAACCAACAATCTTCGGGAATGTAACAAATTCTGACCGGAGGCAATCAAAAAAATGCATGCATAACTGGGGTGCACAAGATTTGGCCTTGTGGTGGCAACCATTTGAATGAAAGTCCCAACAGTCAGTCAAATGAAATTATTGTGTATATATATAATATCATATCATATTATAATATTATTAATTGATTATATTATGTTAAATATATGTATATCATATCATATTATTAGACCACATATATTATTATTAAATTACTATGTAATTTATAGATATAGATTGTATACCTGGAAATCTCATAAACTGTCATAAAACTGGACATATCATAAGATTGCGTCACTATTAAAACATCACCTAGTCATATCATTAAACAAAGAGGTTTAACACCAAAAATTGACAATGTCCGAGTCCGATAATTTCGTCTGGTTCCAACATGGTCACTGGTCACTGCGGCCGAGGAGCGGCAACTGCAATGGTGTCATCCTCATTTGACAGCACCGAACGTCTGGCCTCCCAGATTTTTTTGGGCACAATGATTTGCTAAACAAGGTTTTTCATTGTTCATCAAATTTGATGTTGAGGCCAAATCAAATTTCACATAGATAATCTACTTCGTCAACATGTTTGGATTTTCCGAAGCTAACAAATTAACCAAAGGGTAGAGTCTACGCTAACAAATTACCAGAGGGTAGAGTCTACATTTCAATAACTCTAGCAACTCTAGCATCAATCCTTCATTTTTCCCATAAAAGAAAAACACATTTGGAATATTCTAAGTGTATACTCTGCCACCTACCTGTGGGCATCATTTAAAATTGCACTACACTTTTCAACCAAATCGACTCTAGGCGTAATCTATCAAGAATGGAAATGCCCATATGTTTTTCCCACCATGGTCAAACTTAGATACCCTGCAAAAAATGACAAATTCTTAGCTGGTGAACGTAGATAATCCCAGACCAAAAGACTAGTGAACGGAGTAGTTTCTAGCCATCTAAGATTGACCTAGCCACACGATCTCCCTATTTTTTCCATGACACGGCACGCCCCCACGGCACGCCACGCACCGGTGCATGGCACACCTTCGCAGTCCAACCGCCGGGCCCTAACTTCTTCACCTGGCAATCATCCCATGGGACCCATGGAAACCATCCATGGCTGGATTTGGGGGTAGCCCTATGACTTAGTTTTTTAAATGGATTATAGTTTAGAAACTGATTTTCCACCATAATGGTATTATAGATTCGGCTTTTCCATGGAAATAAACCATCCAGCGATTTTTTTTTGGGATGTACCCTCATGGCTCAGGAAACCACTATATATATATATATTATATATTGGGAAAATCCAGCGACAAAAAAGTTAGATGATAGATACATATAGATACCAAAATCGTAAAAATAATGGTTTATAAACAACAAGAATGGTGATACCATGAGGAGATATGGGAGATTGTTTATGGGGATATTGTGATGGTAATATGTGGTGATACCTTCTGGTAATCAACCGTGGCTGGCAAATTCCCGAGAAATCGAGGTTTTTCTGGACGGGAAATTCAGCTAGAAATAATGGATGTTTCCATTGCCACGTTTGATTACCAGAGGGTACCCTGTGGTTTCATGACGATTACCACTTTGACGGTAAATCAAGGGTGGTATCATCGCACTAAAAGGGCAATCCTCATTCTCTATAGACATGTTGATTTAAACAGAGTTCAATGACTTGAGGGACTGGAGGGTAAGAAACGCCCATGACATCCCATGACTATATGCACATGATTTTTTACAAATCCATTCGATTATCTGGTGGTAAAAAATACAGCAAGTTCCCTGAAATATATATTTTATATATGTATATATATAATTATATATATATTGAAATCGAAGCTGCAGGTGGGCGGGGAATCTGACCATATCACCAAAGCTACCCAAAAGTCTCCAAAGCATGCTGAGTATATAGTGGGCCGCATCTATACCATCAGCAATATCGACAATGTACATTCGGGATATTGTCCGGTGTTGGTTTCCCCCATTGCCTTGCGATCCCGTACCACCCCTTCAAATAGCCTTTGATTGTTGGCTACACTTCATGCTTGTCGCTGTCCTTCACGTCCCAAGTGTCTGTTGTTCTTCAAATTGGTAATGTTTGGTCAAACCCATTCCCCGGACTCAAACCATGCACGGAATGAGTTTCCTTGAAGTAGGTAATTGCCAAAACCCAACGGTTTATCATCATTACGTGAACATTGCCATACATAGGATTCCGCCCATTTTCAGAGACTCCCTTGGGTGTTTCTGGAAAATGGGGTTCCCATTTACCATTCCATTTGGGATGATTTTGAGGTCCCCATTGTTTCATAAAACCTTCAGATTTGACAATAAAACAAAGTTGGTTCTACGTTATTATCATACAATATGTATATTTATGTATATATATATATAGCATACATGTGTACATATATATATAATTGATTGCATACATATAATCATATCATATATAAACAGTCTATCCTATGAATTTCTATGTTTCTTTTTAATACATATATATATATATATATGTCCATAATTTTCCATATGTAAAATTTCCTCCACTTCCGTGTTCCCATCCTCCCATCGAAAAATCCTACCGTGCTCTGCGTCTGCCGCTCATCGCCAAAGGTGAGCTCGTAGCTGCCAGGAGCCATGCGACCTGGCACAGCTAGACCTATATGGGGGTGTCCATCAATGGGGGTACCCCAAAGTGGTTGGTTTATAATGGAAAATCCCATTAAAAAAGATTAATTGGGGGTACCCCCATTTAAGGAAACCTCCATATATCCTATATTTAGGATGATGTAAAAGAACCCCCCCAATGGATGGTTCATGGGATAGTTTATTGTGCAATGACCACATGATATTGCTGGCGTTGTATAATCCCCGAACGAATCATAAATCGACCATCATTTACCAATTAAAGTCCACATCCACTTAGATATACACTTATATATTACTGATCACCATATTTGATAGTTAAAAATATATTCTAAAAGCCCAATGAAATGACGAACTGACGAACAGACGAACTGACCCTGCGGAATCATCAACCAGGCTAGATCGCCAGGACTTCCAGCCTTCCGTGGCATGGGGCAGCTGCAAGGCAACCTGGTCATCCACCATGAATGGATGATAAGCCCAGGGCTGGCAATCAAGGACCAGTTGGAACTTATGGAATTTTAATGTTTCCTACATCCACTATCTTTCTATAATCACTACAAAGCTGAAGTGGAACTGAAAAAAATCACTCACAGTTCTGCCGCGTACGTACATATTCTTGCGCAGCCATTCTTGTTTGCACCATCAATCTCTCCGTGCCCAATGTTAAAAGATCAATATATCCAATCTCCAACTTCAGTTTCTTAGCTCGTCTAGTCTGCTGGGGCTCCAGTACATAGACCTAAAAGATCCTAAAAGAATAATAAAGAATACAGACGTCTGCCTGTCCCATGAGATCTGCTCCACCCACAGCCCGATCTGCCTTTGGATGCCCTTCCAACCATGCAGCTTCAATGCAATGTTGAAGTTCCTGAACAAATCACGTCTGAATGAAGAACATGCCATTTTTTCAAAACTCTTCTGCAACGTGGGGACCCAGTGAGCTAAAAAAACGCTAAGTTCTTTTGCTTCAGTTGGCTAACGATTGGGTTCATGATTGTTTATTGTAGATTATGTAAGCTAGTTATTGTTGACTATGTATATATATATATAATATTCTACATCATTGCAGAATAGATTATATCCCGCTATCCCCATGACTTATATCATTTAATCCCAATGTTTGGTCCATAGTAATGAACCCCCTGTTTCCCATTCAATGCTATTTTCACACAAAGCGAACAAACAACAATGAACCTCAATGGAGTCTATGAAAAAAAGACCCCTTTCACATTCCATGATTCCATGAATATCCCAATATGCCCTCAGGTCCTCTGGTAAACGTTTACATAGCGAACTGGAAGCCTTGGCCCATTGAGTTTGTTGATTTGCCATATTAAACATATCAAACATATTCAAACATATCAAACCATATAAAACCATTTTAAAACCCATTTGATTTAAAAAAAAATGGTGATTTTCCATAGTTTTTCGTATGTTTACCAACGGGATCCAACGGGTATCCCCAAGAACCGCATCCTGAGGAATGCTCGTCCAACGCGCCGGTTGCCCGTCGGGATGATTCCTGCCAAAAACGTCCAACATCGAGAGGACAGCCATCAAAAAAACAGGGAAAAACGAGATCAAATGGATGAACATGTGGTTTTTAATGTTTTTTATCCATCAAATATATATATATACATAGATGTATCATCCAAAGAGAAATTCACTGTGGGTTTCTTGGAAAATTGAAATGGAAAGGAACCATGTCTCCCAAGGGGATAAATTGGGAGTATTGCCTTTGGCGAACTCACGACTCAATTTCAAAACATGTTCCAAATTCCAAAATTAAGGATGCACAGCAACTGTATGCAACACATTGCAAAATGATTATTGGAGCCACCAAGCCATACGTGAGGCCAATTGAATCCATTTGAGCGTCTATTTCTTTGGGGATACGCTCCCCACTTGGATCAATCCATTGCGAGACCTAAAACTTCAGACCAACAAAAACTCTACGCCTAAACGGACTATAGTTGATTTGAAGGTCTACTTAATAGTGTATACACGATGTATTCACGATGTAACAAACTGGGTCTCCAAGTTTGTTAAACGACCAATGCGGTTGTCTCCTGGCCCAAATTTCCCAGGTGGGTTGCAATGGCTCCCCATCGTCGTTGAACTCGGACAAGCTCGGAGAGATGTCCAAATCTGTACTGCTTGGGAACCGGTTTTCGAAAGCAGTTGGTGAGAATAACCTAGGTTGACTATGATATGGTTTATGGATGTTTATGGTCGATATAGCTATAGTTAATGGATTTTAATGGGGTTTACACATCAACGTATACATCAAGTTTGGGTGGCCCAAGTCAGTACTGCTGAAGGATTTGCATCCCACTTATGTAGCTTTCTTATGACCTGATATTGGCTGGGGAAAACATTCATGGCTTATCCCATATAGAACTGGGTAATAACATGTTATACCCTCTGGTAATTTAACATAGCTATTGAAAATGGCCATTTTTAATGGGAAAATCCACTATTAATGGTCATTTTCAATAGCTTTTTGTATGTTTACCAGAGGGTAACACGTTATAACTGTGGTAATATGGCAAGCACCGGGATGAACATGATGAACATCCAACAACTTGAAGTCAAGCACCATATAGGGAGCTGGGAACTCCCGGAAGAAAATGCCGGTTTATATCTTGGAACATCTGTGAATGGGGGATTTTGAAGCAAGGTACAAGTCATCGCTGATAGTTTATGAGAACCCCAACGTTGATCATTGGGGTTGTTTGTTGTGGTAGATCCCCCCTTACACTGGTTTCAATGGACTTATTGCTGCTCATGTGGAACTTGCATCGGAGGATCATCACTCCTAGCGAACAATGATACAATCCCATCTAGATCCCAATGCAGCTCAGAAACAGTCTGCTAGCTACAGCTAACTACCAACATGTACAAATCAAAGAAAACATTTCAAGGAGAAAATAAGGTTTATTTATTGTTGCTTAAAGTCCTGACAAATTTGCTGTAAAAAAATGACCCTTTTGGGTAAAGGTTTACATTTTTGGTGGAAACACAGGAAAAACGGGAAATCACGCAGTTCCGCCGGGCGGAAATGTAAAATTTGAATTACTCAAATGTGGATAAACTCTTAGATAGATTTGGATACAACTTGGTCAAAATGTCAAAATAGAATCCCTTTTTATTTTGTCATATATAATGTTTAAAGGACTCGAAGTTTGAGGCCGTCAAATTTATCAATATTTATTGGATTTTAGTTACCCTCTGTATTTTCCTGCAGAATGACCTTGAACAAACAACTCAACATGTAGATCAGTGCCAATTAAGACGGGAAAGTTGACCTTCCAAGTTTCTTCCTATCAGAAGTTTTCCCGCAGCTGGCAGAGAGTCGCTGTGTTCAATACTGTGCCTCATATCATTCATGTATGCTGAATGATGCCACTATCCATCTAGAGTCATCTACCGTTGTTGACCCCAAAGTTCATCTATTCTTACCAAGAATCTACCCATCTTTATATATATATATATCCCTATGGATCCAGCCGTACTTCCTTCCCTCAGGTACAAATCAACCCACATTCATCATATCCCAATCATACTTCGTACCGGAGGGTACTTATTACACATATGATTATAGATATGTAGCTAGCGAATAAATGAAAATATTAAGATAGATAGATAGATAGATAGATAGATAGATAGATAGATTAGATTAGATTAGATTAGATTAGATTTGATAGATAGATAGATAGAATAGATAGATAGCTGGATATATATATATATATACACATACCATGCACAAATGGTATTACGCGTCTCAGACCACCCACTTCGCACCCACGAAGCCCAGTGGCCATGATTGCCAAGGGTTCCTGGCGGTGAAATTGTCCCGGGGTTCCAATGACAGGAACATGATGTCTGAAACAAATGGATAAGGGGCTAAAGCGGTCACCAGCTTGCGATAGGTTACCAGCACTGTCTGGAACCTTAGACTACCAAGCAAAAAAAAACATACACGAAGAAATCAAGGGCCTAGGTTGGCCTAGGGGGTTCTCAAGAGCGACCATGTGTAACTATAGCCATTCCCATCAACATGTGCTGTACACTAACAAATACTAAAAGAAAATTAATAATTCACCAACTAAAAAAGGGAACCAATTAAACCAACTAAAATATATTCTAAAATTCATTCAAAACCAACTAAACGGGAAGCCACTTTGAAAGTGACACTTTCAAAAAAAAACACTTCGCCGCCGGGCTCCCCAGGTCCAACAACTTTCGTCAGTGCGACACTCATGGGCTGTCTGGAAGTTCTGGCCTCAGTTCAGGCCCAAAAATGGAAGGTCTAAGGAAATTGCAGTAAACAAATGCGCAAAGTATCAGGATGCGGTGGTGATGATGATGGTGGTGATGGTGATGATGACTACCAATGGTGCCATCATCATGTTTATTATCATGACTATGTATGTATGCACATTTATTGTAGAGGGACTATGTGTATATATATATATGTACACGATATGTTATCATTATATATATATATATACATATGATGTATAGTTGCATAGTTTGGATTTTGATGAGATGGGTAGGGTATGGTGTGGTATGGTGATGTATGTGTTTTTTTGCTTATGTGATAACCGCTTCAGCCACTATAAAAATGGGAACCCATGACGTTGGAAAATTGCGGTTTTCCAGAGTATATGGTCTCTATAGAATGGGAACCCATGACTTGGACATGGCTGTCACCCAGCAGGTTAACATCACTATAAAATGCTGATCTGACCTCACCCAAAAAAAAACTGTATATAAAATGGTGGACTCACTCGAGCCGTAAAAATTAGATATAAAATGTGTTTTAAAAAATGCTCATCCGGGGGATGTCCACCCCCTATTCTATAGAGGAATTTCCTGAAATGCGAAATTGTATGCAACACCAAGTTGCGTGAACAAATGGTGCAGCTTTGACTCTTCTTTTCTCACGGCTGCGGGGACATGTAATGAGTGAAACCCCGCTGGAATGGAACCTGTGAAATCGACACAGGCCCCCTTGAGCACACCAGCTTCGTCGTTTGTGCTCACCTCATGCATCTAGCGCCAGACTGTGTTTGCCGTCTGAAAAAGCTAAATTCATTCCTTCTATGAGTTCCCTGATTCTGCTACCATCCAAATGTTTTGTGCCCAAGTCAGCAGTGTTGATTTTGGTACCTATCTTTTCCAGTTGCAGTTCGCCATCGTGAACTCTCTGCTGCAACCATAAATAGCACCTTGAAATGTGCTTGGCTTTCCCATGTCCACGGCGGTTCATCATCGCCTTTGCAGCTGTTGCATCAAAAACCAGCGTCCCACTCAACTGACACCCCAGATCCATCATTGTTGCCAGGGCTCCCAGGAGCGTCGAACCAGCCTTGATGCCAGCATAAAATTCACTTTCACCACTTGACAAAGAAATGACATGCTGCGTTGAGCTGTAAAATTTCAGTAAATGTTTCCCGTGGTAAAGTGCACCACAGGACGTCGACTTTCTGGATTCAGTGCATCCAGCATCATCAGAATCTGTATGAATACGAAGACCAAATTGTTCGTCTTGTTGTTCATACTTCCAAATTAACCTCGGACATCCAGCAAGGTATCTTGCCAACCGTTTCAAGCCGTTCCAACTGCTCTTTGTTGGATTCTGCATCCTCCTTGCCAGTTCCTTTGCACTGTAATTGATGTCCGGTCGATCCAAAGCCAAATAATTGCATCGCATTGTTAAACTTCTGAACCTCTTGCAATCTTCCAAACTCAAAGGTGTATCATCTCCGTCTTTGCAAGTCACACCAGGGGAACTGACGGTCTTTGCATTGTTCAACCCCAGCTCGTTCAGAACAATTTTCACATGTCTCGGATCTGCCTCAATTGTTGTGCAGTCAGCGCCAAAATGAATCAGTCTGTTCAGGAGGGCGACATCCTGCACGTCTGTCTGCTCAGGCCCCAAAAGACCACCAAACTTCAGTTCGTATCGCTCCTCCAGCTTCTTGCGAAGCCACACCAAATCATCGTGAAAACCCAAAACTGTAATGTCATCCCCATGTATTGAAACCTTGAGATCGCGGGTCTGATTGACAAATAAAACAGGGCTTCCCAATCCAGGCGCAAAACCACAACTTGTAAACATGTCGGTCACCTCCAATTCCCAGCAAGCTGCCGCATCTCGGCATCCGTACATGGCTTTCAGCAGCCTGCCACAAGTCCCTTCCGGGAGTCCAGCCTCCTCTGGAAGAGCAACATAAACTTCACGAAAAATGCGAGCTGTCCAGTGAGCTCTCCGAATGTCAATGAACATGACTTTGCGTCCACGACCTCGAGCATCTTTCTGGTGACCTGTTCTCTGCAAACTCAAAAGCATCCGCACCAATTCCAACGGTGGTGTCGCGGCAAAAATTGCCTCAATGTTTGAACTCCTCACCTCTTGTATGACCAGGCGACTTCTGTATTGTGGACGGGCTTCATCTCCTTTGTTGACATCGATCCACCTTGAGCTGATAGGTGCCTTGCCCGTTCTGTCCCAAGCTTGTTGTACTGGAACTTCTTCCCAAACTTTGTAACGCCGGGCATACTCAATCTCTTCTGCCCGTGCCTCACGCACCAACTTTGCATTCAGTGCTTTGCCAGAAATCTCATCTGAAAATGTTTCCCAGTCATCCGGTGCCAAGGTGAGGTCCACGTCAACCTCCTCATTTGTAGGTCCAAAACTCATGCTGCCAATTGGATGGTCTCGCTTGATTTGTTTTCGCAACCCACGAAGAATTGCTTGTACCAAACCATCAGGGTATTTCTCACATTGCTTTGCCTTTCCCCCAATCAGTGGAATGTGCCTGTGCCATGACTTCCCAGGCACACGGTGATAAAACAGCGTCTCAACACGTACGCACTTTTCAGGGATGGCAAACTTCACCTCCTTCTTCTCCGCATTGCAAGCATCATGCAAATCTTGTAAAACTGTCCCATTTGTCAGATCCAGCGTCACCCTACGAACCACACTGTTCCACTTTGGGCCACGCTTGCTTGGCATCTGTCCAGTTTTCGGCTGAAAAGTTGTCTCCCGCCAGACTGCTATTGCCCCAGGTTCATTGCTGCACTTCACTTCCAGTTCTTGTGCTATGCATTCACTGTTGGTCAAATAGCCAGTCCTCTTTTTCGCAAAACCCCACAAGCCATTGTCATCTTGCAGTTCCATCCCATGTTCACACATGTCTCCTTCCACCTTGTAAACACCAGGCTGCTCAGAAACATCTGTCACGCTCGGACTTTTCCAGGATTTTGCCAATGCAGGATGTTCATGCAGAAAATAACGACCTGCAGCCATTCTCCGCTTGTACTGATTGCAGCAAAAAGCCAAATGCTCTTCGCCCTCTTGAATCTTCTCAGCCATCACCTCTGGGTCAACCTTGTCTTTGTTGAGTGCTTGCAACGCACTGAAGGGACCACATGGAGGGCATCCAAGTAGAAGGTCCGGATTGAACGCATCCACCAAGTTCTGGGCCTTAAGCCGTTGCCCTTCCAGTCTGAAGTCCCAAGGGTTCCCATCATCGTCTCGTGTCCTCAGGTCGAGTGCCAAACCGCTCGACAAACCTTGAGTCACACGAGGCTGTGAAAACAACTCCACCACGACGGGTTCTCTCATGTCGTAGGCCTTGTTCAAACTGATGGCCCCCAACTGCACCAACACCCGCCGCATCGAAACATCCTCATCCATGAGCAACTGTGCGGTCTCCATCAGGCTGGCCTCTTTGACTGCATTCTTGAAGTCAGCATTGTTGGAAACTTGTTGCAGTGCCCCAATGTCCATAGACGGCCTTGCCACCACATCATCGGCCTCCATCTCATCTGGAATCACCTCCATCGCAGGACCATCAGCCTCATCAAGAACGGCCGCTGCCCCTGCCAAAGCTGATCCATCTCCGACTGAACCATGGCCCCCTTGGCCACTTGAAGCTACCTCCTCCAATGGCCCAAGGATGGCATCCATCTCCGCCTCAGCTGCCAACTGCTTGGCGGACTTTTCAACTCCACCATCAGGCTGCTCAGCAGCCCTCTTTTTCTTTTCTTCCTTCTCGTGGTAGGCCACAAGATATTTCTCCTCTCTGCTTTTCATAGCTTCAACTCTGCGTCTGCCCTCTTCAGTCTTGTTGAGCTCGTTCATGATCCTTTGTTTGCAAGCTGAAGAGTGCTGTCTGTGTGACAGCCCGGCTTTGGCTCGTTCACATCCATCACACCCTTCGGTGTAGCCGAAATCGCGAAGCTCCACATCGCGTCTCACATAGATGCCCCTCGGCACATAGTTCTTTCTTTTCACCTCCACTGCAGGTTTCTGCTCCTCCTCTACCTCGGGCAAGGAAATCTCAATGGGAAGTCTTTGTGCTTCCACCTCTTTGGCAGCTGAAGGACGAAGCTGCCACGGCAATCCAATCACCGCCTCCAACAATTCCTTCTGCCATTTCTCCTCTTCCGGCAATCTTTTGATTGTCCATGTTCTCACTGTTCCGGTGGAAGTTCCGATCCACCTCATAGCTGTTCCTTCCTGGATTCCAAGGTAAACCCCAAGTTCAAAGCGAGGTTCAATCTTCTTCTGATCACGTTCTCCTCGAAGTGGTTGATAGAGAACGCATTCACCAAATTCTGGAAGGCGAATGCGCCAGGCTCGACCAGTTGAACGTTCAAAGGCCGTTCTGCCGTCAGCGCCTCTCAAGAATCTGGATATGAGAGCCCCAGCGTAGTCAACCAACCAACAAAACACAGGATGTCGTGCAGGGATCTTGAAGCCATAGTGATCTTCCAAGCAGCTCTTCAAAGTTCGAGCCTGACCCTGCAACCTGCCAACGGCTGCCTCAATTGCCCCGTTGCTCGCCGACTCTCCTTTCACTGCATCTTCAAACCCAACTCCAGGAAGTTGATCTTGAACGCCTCTTCGAAGCGCCACCAAAGACCGCTCAGTGTCACTCTTGATGACAGCATCTTGCAATCCCAGGCATCTCATCAGCTTCACCACTGCAGCCACACAATACTGATGTTCCACACCTTTGCATGGCATAGTCAATGAGAACATTCTTTCCGAAGTTTCATCCAGCATCGCAAGCAATGGAAGTGTGTCATCCTCCCTTGCCCCAAGGTAGAAGTAGTCGATGTGAACCATAGGCCTTTTCCGACCCTTTGCCACTTCATCTCTTTTCTGCCTTTGATGTGCTTGAGCTCGACCACGTCCTCTGACGCAATGCGCACACCAACTTCTGTAAGGAACATGGCTGATGTTGTGCTCTCTCACCTCAGCCTCTGACGGTCTAAATGGAGTCACCTGCCCCATTTTCATAGTCTCCTCCTCATGCTCCACATGAAGTTCTCCACTTTCGATTGCCTCTTGCACCTCCTGGTCATCACCCAGCTCAAAGACACCTTGTTCAGCATCAGATCGCACTGGAGTGCCAGGCTCATACTCATCGTCCTCACGTGGTGCTCCAGGTCGAGGATCTTGTTGTTGATCTCCCTCCTCCATAGAAACACCAATGGGACTTACAGCAATCGGTTGCCTCACAGCACCGACGGAACTGAGTCCGGTGCCTGCCCATAAAAACCCAAATCCTCAGGAACATGCACAGACATCTTCTGCACATATACTCCATCTTGCTGATGCAGCTTCATGATCTCACCCGTGGCCAAGTCCTCGATGTAGCTGTCCATGTAGTAGGGGCCGAGCACCAAACGATGTCCCCTGTTGGCCACCTCTGCAGCTGACACCAGCACTTTGTATACCGATGCGACAGAAAATTGGGTCTGCCGCACAAAGCCCTCTTCCGTGATGATCACCGGCTGAACCTTGTGCATCTCCGGGACGATGGTGCCATCGGCTGCTTGAAACGTCAGCCCTGGTTCTGGATCTTCCGTAGGCCACCCATGGAAAATGCCCGGAGGACACACTGAAGCCGCCGCTCCACTGTCGATCGTGGCCAGCACTTCATTGGGCCCTGCCACCAACCTGGTCAGGTGGCGTTGAACACATGCCGGAGTGGAGTTCCTGAAGATCTCTCGGCTAATGTCCAAAGCTCTTCGGCTCAAAGCACACAAACTTCGAATTGCCAAGCTCCCAACGTGAGCTGCTGTCGATGTTGTCTCCGGAGATTGTGGTGATGGAGGGCTCGGAGGATGTAGGATCAACGGCGGTGATGCCGAGGAAGATGATGCCCCACTTTGAAGACGCTTGTAGTCCTCCATGGCCGCCTTCGCATATGCTGATTGCATCTCAGCAAGCTTGGGGTCCACAGCATTGAGGGATTTCGGTTTGCTCCAGCAGGCATCAAAGGTATGACCCGCCTTTCCACAATTGCTGCACACAGCTTGCTTTCCATCTCCCTTCTTTCCACCACCTTTCTTACCTTTTCCATCTTTGCCTCCATATTTCCCTTTTGATTTCCCTTTTCCACCACCATCTTTCCCTCCTTTGCCTTTGAAGCCCTTGCCTTTGCCCTTGTCATTCTTCGGCTTTGTGCAATCCCTGGCCAAGCGTGGACCACCGCAGTTGTAGCATCCACCAGATCGACTGATTGACGCGATGTCCATCGTTATGTGGCTTGCCGGAGTCACTTGGTCCAGGTAGGAGAAGACTTCCTCACGTAGATCCAGATATCGCACAAATCTGCCAGCATTCAGTTGGAGGTGTTCTCGAAGTTTGGCAGGCGCCATGTGGATCAACGCCGCCATCTTCATTGCATCGGACACCTTCTCTGCATTGGGTCTGGCCTCATAGTCCACGATGCGGTTTTCCCAGCTGACGATCTCTGCAGAGAGCTTGTCAAGAGAGATGCTCTCCTGCGGGTTGGCAATCTTCATCAGGTGAGCTCGTTGGCGTCCAATCGTCACTGGGTTGAACCGGACCTGCAAGAGTCTGAAGGCTTCCATGCCATTGGGCCTCTTGGCTTGACGAACAAGAGACTTCGCCTCCCCTGCCGTGTAGGATGACAGGATGGCGTAGATGTTGGACTCTGCATAGCCCAGCAAAGCTCCATCCAGGTGCCCAAACTTCACCTTCATGTAGGCCAGGTCAAGAGCATGTTTGGGCTGCTCCGTCACGATCCACTCCAAGCATTCATAGATCCCTGGCATTGCAGAATCAGCCAGGGTGATCACCGAGTCTGACCAGTCCTGGAAGGAAACTTTGCTCTCTGTTGGATTGAATGTTGCAGGTTTTCCAAGTTGCCGTCCATCCACACCTCCTTGTTGAATCGCATATGCCACTGCCGGACTGATGGGAGCCCCAGTTGCACCTGAAAATCCGAAACCACCTTGTGCTCCACCACTTCCAAACTGAAAAACTGGTGGGGGTCCCGACTGTTGTGGAGGTTGTGGATGAGGTGAACCACTCGGCGCTTGCGGAGGGGAATTCATTCCAATCCCTCCGGAAGCCGCCGCACCACTCATCTGTTGAACTTGACCTTGCAAACTCTGAATCACCTGCCCGAATTGCTGGAACTGTTCCGGACTGACCTGTTGTTGTGCCTGCGTCTGCAACGTCTGAACTGCTTGTCCAATCTGCTGCAGCTGATCATTCTGGGCCACCGGAATCTGTTGCACCTGCGTCTGAATTGCCTGCATCGCCTGACTCATCTGCGACAGCTGGTCTTGGTGTTGTTGCTGCTCATGCTGAAAACCAGCCTGCACCTGAGCAACAACTTGTTGAATCACATGTTCTGTCGTAGTCTGAGTCCCTTGAATAGCGGCACCAGTCCCTTGAACCGCTTGCCCCAGCTCTTCCAACCGGTCTCTCTGCCTTTGTTGCTCAAGCATCATCTGTTGCATCATAGCACCCAACTGCTGCATCTCCGTAGGAGCGCCAGTCTGAGACGCGGGAGATCCATCTGCTGCTGCCATCTCGTAAATGAACGCTGTTCCAACCCCACAGGTGATGAAAACAAGGGTCCAAAACCCGGCACCAAGCCACTTGTAAATCCCACGAATTGTTGTCCAGGCGCGGGACGTCTGCTCTGTCCACCGCGCAGTGCCCCTGAGATTGATGCCACCTGCTTGAGCTGTTCGACTGGGGATTGAGCCCCTCCGGTTGTCGCTGGTTGGGCGGACCAGCTCCGCTACCATGCGAAATTGTATGCAACACCAAGTTGCGTGAACAAATGGTGCAGCTTTGACTCTTCTTTTCTCACGGCTGCGGGGACATGTAATGAGTGAAACCCCGCTGGAATGGAACCTGTGAAATCGACACATGAAAGGTTTATTTATTATGTATGTGTATAAATACGGGCAAACCCCTCCTTTTGCCGCCGACGTCCACCACTTGTCCGAACATAAAGCACAGTGTGTTGTGGGACAAAATGCACATGTCCATGATCATGGCTTTCATCTTGCAATGCACAGCTTAGCAACCTGTGCGTTGAATGTTACAACACCATCACCATCATCATCATCATCATCATCATCACCATCATCATGAAGATTCCCTTGAATATAAAGTTCAGGGGGAGTGGAGATTTATGATTCCCTCGAAACTCTGTTGAAACATCTTGAAGACTCCCTTGAACATATAATAAAGTTTAGCGGGGGTAGGGATTTAATGATTTCCTAGAAACCGTGCAAATGCTGTGTGGGCGAAAGGAGGGGTTTGGTATAAATACCACCAGTATGATATCTGATGCTAGTGCTGCCGGCAAATTCTCACCAGTCCAGACCCTCGTTTGTCCCGTCTCTGGGTTTTCTGCTGCCGATTTGGGGTCCAACTTCACTGCCTCGACTGAATCATCAAACACGGGGAGACAACATGAGGGAACCATCAAACATGGGTAACGTGTGTCAAAAGAACCATCAAAGTATAAAACAAATTGCAACATACAGGGATAACACACATAATTATGTAACCATCAAACAAGTCGGATGTGACATCAGAAAGAAGTCTCTGTTTGCAGAATTCCCTTGCGGAATCCAGTGAGAAGAAAAAGTTTGGGTCTTGCCTAATATCGTGCCCGGCTCTTGGTATAAAATTTCTGGCCAGGTGGAGTGTACGATTCAGCAATTGACCCAGGAACGCTGCAGATTGGGTGTGGTCACACTTTTACTAGGAGATCCACCGTCACCGCCCTTCCGGTATTATGTTCAAGTATATATAATATTATAATGTTTCCGGTAATATATGTAATATTATTCCATTATAGCTGTATAATGTTGTTTCTTTCATTTTTTTACCCTGCCACCATCTCCAGTTCGCGTTTGCAGCTCATCATTCAAACACATGGAATACTCCACAGCCATGCAGTTCCTCCATGTCAGAGCTCCCACACCAGTCGCAAGGACATTGGCACATGTGTCGGCAGAGCCACCTGGTACCATCCCCCAAAGACCCACCGAAAGTTTACAGTGCGTGGAGTCCCCACAAGGGATAGAAACATCACTTTTTCCCATGTTCTTTGAATATGTTTGAATGATTTTGAATGGTGTTTTCCGTTGTTCTCCATTTCTTTGGTGACCCCCATAGAAAAACGATTTCCCCTGTGACCCCTTCCAATTACAGTAATCTGATAAAGCGGTTTGTCTGAAAATAAAAGAAGCCTCGAATCTGATGGTTCATCATTTTCGCCACTGAAACTTCAATAAGTTCATGGTGAGTAAAATATTGATGGTGATTGCTATAATTTGAATAATTTGATGGCTTCCAGGATGATGGTAAAATGAGTTATATTTTTATTGTTTGGTTTCCATAAAAATAAGTACATCCATATTTTGTTTTGGTTTCTATAAAATGAGTACATCGTCCATTTTGACACCAAGTGAACGCAGCCCTTTTCAAAAAAAACGGCGCTCCCACGGGTCCCACCTGCAACCTGCTGGTGGTCACCTGCGAGACGGCGAGAGAATTCTTTGACCTGCGGTTAGAGAAGTTATTGACATAATGTGTATGAATATATATATATATAAGTATATGTAAATATATATATATATAAATGAATATATATATATATATATATTAAGTAATACATTTAATGATTGTTATTATGATGACAATAATCAATAATCATCATTATTATTGAACACAAAAAATACACTATAATAATAAGGATGATTAAAAACACATAATAAATAACAATAAAATTATTGTAATTACAATAATGATCATGATAATAATAACCATTATCAATAATATTAATAAATAAATATAATCATAATAATAAAAGTAATAAAAAATGACAATAAAAGTATTACAGTTGTAATAATGATAATAAAAATAACTCTTAATAATTATTATTATTAATAATAGTTATTATTTTCAGTTATACTAGTTATTAAAAATAATAATAAATATTATTATTATCATTAATGATAAAAATAATAAGTTTTAATAATAATAATGATCATAATAAACATAAAAAAAAAAGTATCATCATCACTATTAATAATAATAATCCTAAATCTATATCCCTATGGATCCCGTCGTACTTCCTTCTCGAAGGTCGAAGGTACAGTCATCAGCCCGCAGTCATACTTCCTGACCCAAGGTACTGGTGGATCCACAGGGTATAACATTTGATGTGTAAAACACATGCATCGATTTATATTGTGTGTATGTATGTAAACTGTATATATATATTATACATATATATATATACATATTAGACATATATATATTATACATATATATATATATGTCTAATATGTATATATATATATATATATGTATAATTTATATATATATGTATAATATATATATATATATGTATAATATATATATATAATATATATATACTGTATATATATATATGTATAATATATTATATATATGTAAAATATATATATATAATATATATAGCATATATATATATATGTATAATATATAATATATACATATATATATATATATGTATATATGTATAATATATATACATATATATATGTATAATATATAATATATACATATATATATGTATAATATATATATATAATATATATATATATATGATATATGTGTAATATATATATATATAATATGTATATATATATGTATAATATAATATATATATGTATAATATAATATATATAATATAATATATATATATGTATAATATATATATGTATAATATATATATGTATAATATATATATGTATAATAAATATATATATATATGTATAATATATATATATGTATAATATATATATATATATACATATGTATAATATGTATATATATATGTATAATATAATATATATATATATGTATAATATATATATATATGTATAATATATATATATGTATAATATATATAATATATATATATATTATGTGGTATGTATGTATATGTATCTATATATATATATATATTATGTGGTATGTATATATATATTATATTATGTGGTATGTGTATATATATATATTATATTATGTGGTATGTGTATATATATATCTTCACTTTACGAATCCCTCTGAATCCATCCGTACCTTCTGAGGAAGTATTTCGGGTTTGATTTGGGGGATGATTTGCAACTTCGGAAGTGGCAATTTCCCATATAATAACGCTCAAGCCGATATCAAAGTTGAACACCTGGAACTGTGAGAAAAATCATTGAACTACCATCCTGGAAACACTGAAATCGGCATCTCTATTGGGTTGCTACACATGATTCTCAATCCCCCATCCATTGGTTATTTTATTTTTCTTTAATTTGCCAATTGTACATATATATATATATTTACATATGGTGTATATATATATGCACATGTACATATGGTTTCGGTATCATATTATAGAAGTACCCCCAGTTATCATCCATTTCCGTGGTATTTTCCCTGGTATTTTCCATCCAGCTAGGAAGGGGTTCCCGATACACCTCCGATGCCAGCGTCGCTCGAAAGACCTGGCTGGAACCTGCCGACGGCTTCGCCGGTCGAGGTACGTGGTAGGCGTTGCTTTCCCGCGGAAAATGGTTTCGAAATGGTCATGGAACCAGAAAACATGGTGAATTGTAGTTGATCTATCTTAACTAGCAAGGGTTCTGATCGTTGTTTGTAAACCCCATGAATTATACAGTTCTATATATATATAGTTCTATATATATAGTTCTATATATATATACATAGTTCTATATTAGTTCTATAATATATATATAAGTATCTATACTATATATAAATACACAAAAAGAACAATCGTCAACCTGCTGAGCTAACCCAACTTTGCGGACTGCGGGGCACCTGCACCCGGTTTAAACTTTTTTCACATGGACTTGTGGGGTGCAGTTGGGGCGATTTCATTTGGTTTAACCATGGTTATAACCACCATAGGTAGGTATCAATAATTAAGTTAGGACATATATAACCGCGCTAACTTGTGGTTGTATATTCACTTACCACTGGAACTGTACCGACTATACCCGACTGAAAAGATTCAACGGAAGCACATAACAGCGAAAACATGTGGATTTAATCAAGAATACTTGGGATTGAAATGATTGAACCACAAAAAAGAATGTGGTCGTTTCGAAATAGTTATTTTCTCTAATCAAGCTGTTCGAATCATTAGATATGTATGAATATACAGGCACAAGTAAAATATGTGAAAATGACAATGACAAGAACAACTTTAATGTTTAGATCTCCGACTCAGACTGTCTGTATGTGTTGCACTAAATGGATGCACAAGAATATGACCTGGCCTATCGCAACGGAATGTCAACCAAACTAGTGGGTTGTAGAAGAATCAGAAAAGAGCGCATGATGAGCAACACAAGGGTATGTATGACAAGCAAGATGGTTTCAAAACCAGCATCAATTGAATCTGAAACTACCATGAACTGGGTCTGCAAATTTACGCAGACGCCTCTTCATTAGGCACGAAAACCATCAGAAATACCAAGGTTTGTGCAACAATTCCCCAGGCATGACCCGCATAGATGTAAATATACCGGACATCAAGCACACTTGGTGGTTCATCCCATTACTAAGTGGGTTATAACTCAAGTTATAACTGGACTCACCCTACAAAAATCTTCCAATAATTGAGGTTTTTACAACCACTTCCTGGTGTTTTCACCACCAAGTATGAGGGACCAGGCTATTTTGCCCAGAGAACAAAAAACAAATGGGACCAGGTAGAACTAGT